ATTTTTCATTCGTGCAAACATCGCCTGGTGCCGCCGCCGCAAATCAACAAAGTTTGGGAAGTACCCTGTCCTGGAGGTCATCATTGTCGCAGCAATAACAGCTGTCATTGCCTTTCCCAATCCATACACAAGGCTCAACACCAGTGAACTCATTAAAGAGCTTTTCACAGACTGTGGACCCTTGGAATCCTCCTCTCTCTGTGATTACAGAAATGACACGAATGCCAGTAAGATTGTTGATGATATTCCTGACCGTCCAGCAGGCACGGGAGTTTATTCGGCCATATGGCAGTTGTGTTTAGCACTTATATTCAAAATAATTATGACAGTCTTCACCTTTGGCATCAAGGTAAGTCTTCACGTAAGGATTTCAAAATGCAGTGTGATAATTACCACTCTTTCTTTCTTTTTAATGATTGTTGAAACAGATCTTTTAGGAAATTGCTTTTGCTTTAATATTAGTTCTGTAAATGGCCATTTTGTTTATAAAGGGGTCTGTTGAAATGTACATCAAGTACAGAAACAGGTTGGCTCTATGGTGTCAAACCCATACAAACTGAGATAATGCTTCCCAGATTTCTGCAAACTAAGTGCACATCAAAAAAATGAAATCAGGCGCCACCAGCACTGCCATGTGATGTCACAGGCCTGCCTGTCTGAATGCATATCACTTCTCCATATCCTGTTCCAGTGCAGTCCTTCTGAATGTAGTGGGATTTGTAGATTTTCTGCTTCACTGCTCTGACACAGTTGCTTTAGTTGAACCTTTCTTCTTTTTGTGGTTCTTCAAGTTTAATTGTTAGAAAAATATTTTTGTACAGTGATGGATATTTGTTTCTTGGTCTGCATACAGTCAGGCTAGGGATTATGCTCATCTCCTGTAGTGGGGAACAATAAAAACGTATTTGTTTCTTATTATGGATAGGATACAGTTGTACATAATCAGGCCCATGGGAGGAAATGAATAGGAAAGGGATATAGGAACATGAGGCTAGCAAAGGACTGGAAACAAGTTGATGTAAATGAGTTAGCAACAACACTTGGGTTCTGCAGCAAGACATTAGCAGCTTCAAAGCCTTTTTTATTGTACCTTATTCTATCACAAAAGATAATTTTTTCAGTGTGCTGCTGTCATGGGAAGAACTGTAAGAAGGGAAAAACAGGGATTTAACAGCTAGATTTGGGCTATGTGCATTGGCTACTCATTAAAAGTTGGGCACAGTTTGCATTGTGATATAAGGACATTAATTAGAAGTTGCTACTAATGTGATAACAGTGAATAGTGAACGGTGTTTCAGGGATTCTGATTCCTTGAGATGGAGAAGTAAACATCTCTCTTAAAGCCTGGGTTTCTGACTTGCATTTTTAGATGGAAGTAGCTGCATTGATTTGTCCTGGATTCATATTTTCAAAGTCATCTTTGCAGCACAAGCGTTGCCAGTAATGATGATAACAAATGAGAATGAGAATGAATTCTGTAATGCAGTTTTGCAGCAGGGATTAGCTTTCACAGCAAAGACTGTGTATTAGAACTGCTAGATACATTGTAACTATCAAGTGATCTGTTTTATTACATGCACATCTTATTAGTCATTTCTTTTTCCTTAAATTAATGTACTGTATTTTGAAGAAGCATACTTAGTCAAAATGGAAGGAACATATTTATAGTAAGACTTGCATTTCATCCAACATGACACACACTTCTAGCACTTCTGACTGCCTTTAGGAGAGGTAGCAATGTAATTTCAGCATTCGACAACACATTTACAGCCAAGTATGTTTTGCAGGTGGGACATTTACTTCCAGAGGAGGAGTAAGCATGAATAGTGCACTTTTGAATCCTCATAGTTTGATGCTGCTGACATAAACCAGGCTTTGCACTGCCTCTTTTAGGAATCATGTATTATCAGGCAAAGCTGCATCTCTAGGACATGGTAACTAATAGAAAAAAAGAAATTAAATGGATACAGTAACTACAAATTACAATCACTGTGGTTCTATTCTGCATGTGATGTATCTGAGCAGTTACTAGAAACAATGGTTGCTCTTTGGGTAGTTCTTGTATTTAGTAAGAACCTCTGAGATGCCAACATTAAAGGTGCAGTGTAATAAGGAGGATTTGGTTCATTTACTTTTAAAAACATATCTGTTACACTGAGCAAATCATGAGAACATGGTAGCTAGTTAGGGTACTGGGCAGATGCCTCTTTGGGGCCTGTTTGTTGGCTCTTTGGAATTTCAGACGGTACAGAAAGGCAGAGAGCAATAAGGAAGATCTTTCAGTATTGTAACCTGACTTAGGGTACAGGTCTGGAGCTGTGATGTTAGCCCTGGGAATTCTTCCTTGTTGATACCCTCTGCCTTAAATGTATATAAAATGTAAGTAAACACACTCTTAACATGTAATTGACTCAAGTAACTGAAGAGTCAGTATTTTTGGAGTTAAATATTCTCAGTTTATTATGTCAGTTTACATAGAAACACTGACAATTTGATCACTTACATCTCTCTGTTTGAAACTTCAGGACAGAAGTACTTTTGAAAAGATGTCAGTTAATTCTCTATGGACTTGTATGAAGTACATTTTTCAATAACAAGCTGCATGAGGCCACGTGTATTTTACAGCTTTATCATATTAATAGTTTTATTGCTTCTGTCGTAGGTACCATCTGGTTTGTTCATCCCCAGCATGGCAATTGGAGCAATAGCAGGGAGAATTGTAGGAATCGCAGTGGAGCAGCTGGCCTATTATCACCACGACTGGTTTATCTTCAAGGAATGGTGTGAGGTTGGAGCTGACTGTATCACACCAGGCCTTTATGCCATGGTTGGTGCTGCTGCATGCTTAGGTAACCGAACTGTAACCTGAAAATAGGGGACTGATATTTTTAGTATTAGCAAGATAAGATTCAAGGATGAAAGGAGAAGGCTGCAATCAAGCATGTGTTTATAAGCAGGGATCCTGGTTTTCTCTGATTAAAAATATCCCCAATTTTCAGGTTAAAAAAGTAACCCAAAAT